TTAAATAATAATAAAAAGCACAGTAAACTTCTGATATTTCGAACCCTTGAGAACTTCCAGTAACTAAAACTAATTTTGAATCCCCGTATATATGAATTATGCTCCCAATAACTTGTATAATGGAGTATAATTGTGTTTAAAAATAAAGTTATTGGGAGTTTACTGTATTTGAAAATTTTAGTAATAGCGTATAGTAGATTTAAATAGTAAGTTTGACCAGCTGTTGGCTCAGTTTAATCACTTTATAACACTGTATCAGTCAGTAGGAAAGCTTGTTTAAGTAAAGTCGTTTCCACACACTTAGAATAATGTTAACTAATGTATATTACTATGTATATATATATTAATGTATAATCTATTATACTGGTAATTATGTAATACATTTACAGGATTGCCAATCAACCTGGAAAACCAGGAATACCTGGAAATTGCATGAATCCCAGGGAAAACCTGGAAAACTCAGGGATTTTTTTAAATTTTTATAAAATTCAGGGAAAATATTTTTGTTTTTGTTTAAATTTTTGAACAATAATATTTTTTGTAATCATAGCTTGTCAATACTAATAATAAATATACTAATATTCTAACAATGAGTGAGCAAGACGTAGCTGTTGTAAAACTTTTAGTTTGTCAAATATAAACAATAAACAAGTCAGGGAATTTAAAAAGCTGAACTCAAGGAAAAACGCTCTTTACTCAGGGAAAAACCTTTAAGATTATAGTGGCAACCCTGAAATAAGTATTACATGCTAGCTTTATTTCAGAAGACCTGAAATAAGTATTACATGTAGCTTTATTTCAGAAGTGTGCAATTATGAAAAAAAATTATAATTCTAGACTTGCTTTTTTTTAAAAAATTAAACTGTTTATTTATTTTTTTTTAGTTTTTTCGTTAATTGCAACTTTTTCACTTTTTTTCTGTGTATATAAAGATACATAAAGATAGTATGTCCTTAAAAACTAATACTTAAAACTTATACTTTAAAGATGATGCGAATAGTATGATGCGAATAGTATAATGCGAATAGTATGATGCCAATAGTATGATGCGAATAGATAATAGATCCTTGTGTAGTTCTTATACAACTAACAAAAAAAAAATTTAAATAAATTTTAAAAGATTAAAAACGATTTTAAACAAATTTTTCAGAGTTAAAATTTTAGCTTTCATAAAAAATATAGACTCAAACTTATTCATAAACATTTTTGTAAATGTACTTATTATATTTGGTCGCAACTTTTTACAAAAAAATTTAAATACTTATTAACTAAATATATTTTTAAAACTTTTATTTTAAAAACATCATTTTAACAGTCAATGTTTAGGGCTGGGTAAAATTTTTCTGACCTTATCAAATTCTTTTTTTTGTTTAAGCTTTTACTCTAAGGTGCTTAATACGAACAAGGGGTAAATAGTTAACTTTTGGAAAATAACCCACCCTGAGGGTATTAAGATTCATTAAATTCATTTATTTATTAAATTTCATTTATTGCCAAAGAAAACGACTACTAATATATGTATATATAACGTGCACGTTATATATACATATATATATATATATATATATATATATATATATATATATATATATATATATATATATAACGTGCACATTATATATACATATATATATAAATATATATATGTGTGTGTGTGTGTGTATACATATATATATATATGTGTGTGTGTATATATATATATATGTGTATATATATATATATATATATATATATATATATATATATATATATATATATATATATATATATATATATATATATATATATATATATATATATATATATATATATATATATATATATATATATATATATATATATATATATATATGTATATTAGGGTGGTCCTTAAAACAACTTTTTTGAGAAAAACCTGCTGGCACCCCCTAAATGTGTTTTATCTAATACAAAAACACTAGGTTTAAAATTTTTTTGAACAAAAAATATTTTTAGGGGTAGCTCAAGGCCCTCAAAAATTTGATGGGTCCCTAATATTTTGAAAAAAAAACTTTTTCTAAAGTATGTCAACCTGGTACTCAAAATAAACAAAATTATATAAAAAATTTAAAAATGATAATAATTTTTTATAAAAATAATTTTTTCAGGTATAAATGCATAAAAACTATTGTTTTTAAGCTGAAAATGAAAAAAGTCAATATTTTCAGGTTTTTTAAGAATAATTTTTGTAGGCATGTTTTTTATGTAAAATGATTATTATTTTTGAAGTTTTTATATAATATCGCTTCTTTTGAGTACCAGGTTGACATACTTTAGAAAAAGTTTTTTTTTCAAAATATTAGGGACCCGTCAAATTTTTGAGGGCCTTGAGCTACCCCTAAAAATATTTTTTGTTCAAAAAAATTTTAAACCTAGTGTTTTTGTATTAGATAAAACACATTTAGGGGGTGCCAGCAGGTTTTTCTCAATAAAGTTGTTTTAAGGACCACCCTAATGTATATATATATATGTATATATATATATATATATATATATATATATATATATATATATATATATATATATATATATATATATATATATATATATATATATATATATATATATATATATATATATATATATTATATATATATATATATATGACTGATATGGGTAGTAATATTTGACAAAAAAGTGTTTGAAAATCTTATATTATGGTTTGCATATTTTTATATTCTTTTAAATAATTATACTTTATAAATGCCAAAAAAGTGTTGTTTATATGGCTGGAAAACTAATTATCAAAGTACCAAAGCTTTGAAAAAATACCAGTTTATTGTTTTCCTAAAGATAACCCTGTACTTCACAAAGACAAACGACAATTAGAAAACGTTTTAAGAAGAGCTTCAAAAGAATTAAAGGGTTATATGATCTACCATATAAACAAAGATTATTGGCGCTAAATATGACAACTGTTAAATATAGGCTACTTCGTGCAGATCTAATTAACGTTTATAAATGGTGCAAAGAAAACAATAGTGATAGAAGTCTGTTTGAAATTGATAGCCAATTTATTACTTGTGGTCATATTTATAAACTAAAAAAACATTCTTCCTGATTAAATTTACGCATTAACTTTTTTTCTAAGAATAGTTAATAAATGGAACTCTCTTCCTAATAAGATTGTAACCGCTTTATCACTAAAATCATTTAAGCTACTCCTAGACAATCATTAAAAAAATGAATGGCTTCTCTATGACTAATCTGCATTTATTTTATTTTAGTTATAAAATTTCTATAGTTTTCAAATATTATATGAAACCAGGTTGACAAGCAATTTATGCCTATACAATTTATTGTAAACCTTAATTGTAAAAAAAAACTAAAGATAAAGTACAAAGAAATATTTTGACAAAAAGTATTTCAAATTCTAATCTTTTAGCTTCAGACGAAACAGTTATTTGCCAATTGCATTGGCCAGCAGTTTTCGAAAAAGTTATTGTTCAGAGAAAACAAAGACTAAAAATGCCACCATATGTGTGGCCAAGAATACCTCCAAGTCAAACATCTACTCTATTACCATGTCATCGCACAACACAGAAATCTTTAAGCGTTTTTAGAAATGTTAGAACTGATGAACTTAGCACTTTTTTATTTGCTGATACAGCAACATAAATTGATTTTTAGAAATATTTTATTGAATAATTTCAGGACTTTTTCAGTTTCACATGTATGATTGAAAAAACAATTAATGTTCAATCTATTACATTTTATGATTTTTCTTCCTTTATTTTTAGTTAAAATTTTTGAGAGTTTACATTTTGAAACATTTCATTGTGGAATAAAATGTTTTATAATAAATTTGTGTAAAAATCATATAAATATTGTTGATTTTTGGTTAATTTTGAGGAAATACTACATTTTTTAAATGTCATGGAAATAGATCATAAGAAAAACATTTAGCAACAAATATCAGTTGCCAAAGTTTATTAGAAAAAAAATAAAAAATGAATCAGATACAATTCTGAATATTTTTCAGCATCTCGTGCTTTGTACAATAAACTAAGAAATGATTTTCAATTACCATTAGTACTTTGATACGCATTACACCAAAAGTTTGCAAAATTGATGATGCTAATTTCTTAAACTCAGTTTTCAAAAACATTTGAGAAAAACAAAAAATTTGTATAATTATTTATGAGGAAGTATATGCCAAAAAAATTGTGCTTTACTATGGTGGAACATTGTTTGGTAAATCTTTAGATGACCCATCACTATTGGTTGTGTTAATATTATAATAGTATGTCTCTAAGGTGGTTCTAAATTTTTGTATAAGATGATTCCAATTTCAAAATTAAGTTTAAATTTTCTGTTTGAACAAATAAACTCCAGCATAAAACTTATGAAATCATCATCTGGTGATATAAAAATTGTTATCTGTGATGGTAATCGTGTAAACCAAGCAATTTTTAAATTATATTGTACTATTCTAGGAAGCACCTATTTGTAGTTCTGATGATTGCTGTCTTAATACTCTACTTCAGTTTAGTGATATGCCTCTTAAAATGTGTTGTAAAAATGGCAAAAGAGTGAAGCAGTTTATCTAATGATACTGCAAAATCAATTCATCATACTTACTATGGTATTGTCGAGCTATGATAGCCATAATTCTAATGCGACAAAATTTTGTTTTAAATCAAGTTTTGATTCAATTTTAGAAATACAACTTAATTAGGACAAGAAATTATTTAAACTTTATAACTATTTTTGATGTGTTTTTATTGAATCTCTGTCATGTTGACAATTTCATCATAAAATAACAAATAATTTCAACATAAAAAACAAGTAAAAAGAAAACTATAAAAAATCGGTGTAAAACAGTGAAACAAACTTTTTGTAAAAAAAAACTAGTCAGTATATAGTTGCTTATTTTGCATATGAAAAACTTAAGAAAAACATTAATATTCCACTATAAAATAAACTTTAAAGATTTGTACAACACTTTCAAAAACTGCATAATAGAAAAAGCAAAAAACTACCTGTGAGTTAATGTTACAGTGATATATTCTTGTCCGAAAAATTACTTTTGGTGGCTTGAAAGGATAATCTTGGGGAAATGTGATTTCTAAGAAAAATACACCACCTTGATAAACTGAATCCTTTGGCCCTAATATTGTACCTACCCAATCATACAAGTTATCGCCTTTCGGTCCAGCGCTAAAATACAGCACTAAAAACTCTATGTAATAATTATATATAAGGTTTTAAAATGATTTAAAAAATGATAAAAAATTAACAACAATAAAAAACTAATAAATAATATTTTGTTATTAAAAAGCCTAAAAAATGTTTTTCATTTCTTTTAATGAAAAATATAAGCAAATTTTGTAAATTTAAGTTATGTATTACATTATTTTTCAAATGTTAATGATATTAATGTAAAACTATAATCATAACAGCTTAATATGTTGTAAAACTTTGGCTCAAAGTTAACATATTAAAAAGGTCTTTAATCAACAAATTTCTAATATCTCAAGTCTAATAACTTACTCTCTGACAATCAATTCAAACTTTGATCTTCTCATTCTATTTGCTTAATGCTCTAACTGAAAAATTCTATTGTGCATTAAATGGAGGTAAAGAAAGGGCTATTGCTCTTGATATATATAAGGCTTTTGATAAAGTTTGGCATGCTGGTCTTCTCCATAAGCTTGCTTCATATGGCGTATCTGAGAAAGTTTTTGAGATTATCAAACTTTTTAACTGCTTTAATAAAGTCATCCTTGAAGGCCAACATTCTTCTTTATTTTCAATAACTTTTGGGACACTTAATTCTGTCTTTGGTCCTGTATTGTTTCTAAATTAATAATCTTACTCACAACTTTACATTTAAAGTGGTTTTGTTGACAACTTTATACCCCTGTCTTGACAAAGTCTTCTCTTTTCACTTATAAGACTTTCTTGATCACTTAGAACAAGCAACCGATCTTAAATCTGAACTCTCTCCTGCAACAACATGGGGCTTGCAATGGTTGTAAATTTTAACTCAAACAAAACTTATAACATCAAAATATAGCTGACATTCCTATATTAATGAATGTCAACTCATTCACTGAGCCCTCTTTTTTATGTCTTATTGGATTATCATTTAATACTGATCTCTCATGGATTCATATTCACAATTTGTTGCATCTGCTAAGGTTAGCATCTGCTAAGGTTGCTCTCTTTAACATACTTGCCACTATCTTACTCCAGAATCCATTCTCTACATTTACTAACCCTTATATGGAATACTGTTCCATATAAGGGTTATCTTACTCCAGAATCCATTCTCTACATTTACTAACCCTTATATGGAATACTGTTCCATATAAGGGTTATCTTACTCCAGAATCCATTCTCTACATTTACTAACCCTTATATGGAATACTGTTCCATATAAGGGTTATCTTACTCCAGAATCCATTCTCTACATTTACTAACCCTTATATGGAATACTGTTCCATATTTAGGCTGGTTCTTCTAATGATTATCTTTCTATTCTAGACAAGGTCAAAAACCGCATTGTAAATGTAGTTGGACTTTATCTCCCAGGCTTGAGCCTCTCTTTCAACATCATAAGATAGCATCTTTTTCTTTTTTCTATAAATACTATCATGGTCGCTGCTCAAACCAGCTATCAACCAAAAAGTTTCATCAAAACTCATTCTTGCTTGTCATTCAAGTTGCATCCTTTTACTGCATCTGTCCCTTTATGATTTTATTCATCTAGTTTTTTTCTTTGCACGTCAGTGCTTTGGAACTCTCTCCCATCTTCATGTTTTTCTGACTCATACCTACAGCTTTTCAAGTCTTCTGTTAACTGTTTCATTGCTCTTTGATGCTATTTTTTGTTTTCTAGTGACTCCCAACTTAATAATGCTAGCTTACAGTCAACTTAATAATGCTAGCTTGCATCCAACTTAATAATGCTATCTTGCAGCCTACTAATAAATTAGTTACAGATAGCTTTTTAATCTTTTCTACACACCTTTCTACACACCTACTCATATTATTTCACCATATATCTGTCAATCAGCTATTAAATTTATTTTAACATCATGCGGCATGACTACAAGGCTCTAACTTTGCAGGTTATTATTAGACTTCCCTTAAATAATATAGTATATTAAAATATTTAATAAAATTCTTACTTTGACAATCTTAATAACATTTTAATAAAGAAGAAGTACTTAAATCAGTAGACACAAAATGCCACACATTTTTTTTTTTGGAAGGTAGTAAAAAAATGTAATAAAGTATTTTTGATTTCTCAAAAGCATTTGAAATGATCTCAAAAAAATTGATTTTAAACTATAAAAATTGCTTTTTGGCTTACACCATGGATTGCTAATTACCTACACAAATATACAACTTTTCAATTATATTTTCTGAAGTTTATATATAATATCTATAAATCAATAATAAACAATGTAACTTTAAGTCAAATCTAGGATTATTTTAATATTGACATAACAAATCCTTCAAAAATAACTTTTTACAAAAATGTAAATTTTACAAAATAAAAATATTATAAGGAACATCAAGTAAAAACCTAAACTTGAGATCTTCAATAAGGAAATAGACATTAAGTGAACATAGAGCTCAGAAAATGACAATGCTCATTGAAGAAAAGATGAAACAGCCAGCCTTACTCTTCAGTTACAGTCCAAAGCTTTAACAAATCAATTGTGAACCAAAACTTGAAGATATACCATAACCTCTAAAAAACATATAGGAAAACAGTTTTTCTTGTGATTTACGAAAAAATGAAAATAAAAATTATGGATGAAGCAGCAAAAACAGATTTTATGAGTATCACCTCTGATGAGTGGACACATCACAGCATTTTAAGCTTTGTTTCATAATAAGAATGTTGGGTTAGTTCAGAGTTTAAGCTAATGACAGTTTTAACTATATTAACAATCTTCCTGAAAATCTCTATAGTTTGCTGATAACAAAACTAAAGTGGCTCTATTTGCTGACAGCACAGCTAAAGTGGCTCTTTATTTGCTGACAATTATATACTAATACCTCGGAATTAGAAAAAATGAGGTTGGCATTAATTTACCAACTTTAAGAGGTCAGCAAAAAAAACTTGATACAAAGATTTTACCATAAAACTTGTAGCCATTGCAAGCCCCAAATTGCTCTGCAATTTGGTGGCTAAAAGTTTTAACCCAAACATTACTCAGTTGTTTACTGTTAATAACTTTCTCAATGCTGTTGAAATTCCTATGGCAATATGAATGGCAACTTACTGATTCCTCATGATGTCTTCCTTCACTTCTGAGCTTTATGAAAACCATATATACAATCGATTGCAAAGTTAGAATCAGCTAAGGTTGCCTCTCTTTATTGTGTTTTTAATTTCCATACTCCTGATCCCATTCTCTACCTATATAAATATCTTTAACATTCTTGTATGGAATATTGTTCCATAGACGAGCATATGTTGCATAGACATTTTTTCTAATTTGATAATGCTTCTTTACCATCATCATAAGATTGCATCTCTTTCCTATTTCTGGAAATTTAGAGTAAATTTATTAAAATATTTATTATTATGTATGTGTTTGTATATATAGGTAATAAATTGAAATTAATTTTCTTAAGTACATTTTATTACAACCAGTTTTTTTAAACTTACTGTTAAAAAAACTGGGTGTAATAAAACAATTTAAAAAAAAAGGTTTTACCTACAATTAGGAGGGGGGTCTAACGTTATATCTGCCAACTCTCTTTGAATCCTAAAAACAATATTTTATTAATCAGACACTTAGTTTTGTGAAAAAGAATGATGGGAAAAATGCAACCATTTTTCTCAAAAAAGCAACTATTAAAATCGATAAAATAAAAGACAATTTAACAATTTAAATTGCTGGCATCAGGTCAGCAAAAAAAAATTTGATATAAAGGTTTAACCATAAAACATAGAAACAAAGTCGCCAATTTTTTGCCTACCTAAGACACTTCTAAGTTGATAGGTCGGCATTGCCGAATGCTGACCGTAATTTTGAGGGTTGATATATATCAAGCCTTCCCAGAAGCACGTGCAGTTGCATGCCTTGTTTGTCCACGTTGAACCTAATTTTTTTAGACAAACTGACCATTCATTTTGTAAGTCTTTTCACTTTTAAAAATATTTTTTGCTATATTTGACATTTTTTTCTGAATACTTCTAATAATAGGAAAATAAGAAAATAAATTTTTATTTATTTGTAAAATATATTATTCGATTAATAATTTTTTTAATGACAGAATAAATTAAATAAAAGATTAACATGGTTTCTTTAATAAATGTATTTATCACATTTGCTGCATGCCTGTTATAAATTACTAAAGATAATGAACATAACGATTGCTCTGTTTAAAAAAATGTTTTTAAAAACTTAAAAAAAGGTTTAAAATAAGCTCCTCAAAATTTTGTTAAAAAAATTCAGTAAAGTAACAATGCACTAGCCCAGAAGATTTTAGAGCATCGTCAATTAAAATAGTTCATCAGGAAATAAACTATTGGGTATTCAAAACAACCAAATATTTTATATTTAAATATTAGTATTAATGACTTTTTATTTTTTTAGATGAAAAACTTGTTAAAAACTTGTTTTAAAAAAATAAAAAATTTTATTTATACAAATAAATAGCAATAAGTTTTCTTGCTTTCCTGTGAATTGATACAAACAGTAAAGTTTAGCAAAAAAATTTGAAAAACAAATTTGAAAATTGTCCATGTTTCTAATGCATATTATAAAGTATTTCCTGAACTGAAAAGTACTGACTGAAAAAAGTCGCATAAAAATTGTATATCAAAAAATATTTTTATTTTCTTTACACTTTTATCTACTTTTTTCCTCAACTTGTATAATATTTGGTAGTGGAAAATAACAAATTCCCTAAAAATAAGGAAACCAAAACAGTAAAATATTTAGGTATATTCTTTTTTTAACAACTTTTTTTTTTTCAGTATTCTATTTTTTTAGCTTATTTCATTTAGATTTTCTATTTCATATAGTCTTCAGTTCTTCAAGTATTGCTGTTTTATTCTCTTTAGTTTCTTTAGCATTATTTTGCAACAAATTTTTAAAATGTTAACTATATAAAAATATGGTCAAGTTTTCTAAAAAAATTGCTTTAAGCATGGATGAACAAGACGTGCGGCTGCACACCCTTCCAGGGAATGGCCACACTATGTTCAGTTAACTTATCTACATTACTTTGCAACAGACAGCTTATCACCATTAAGACAAAGAAAATGTGGTTGAAATAAAAAGACCTCAGTGAGAGATGACACTGAAGAGTATCAAAAATCCAAAGAAGACAAATGACCAACCAATGAATGATTTAGCTAAGCATGACATCCATGTCTGCTCGAGTACTGTACGGAGGAGGTTGATAAGTGTTAAAGGTTTTGTTTGTTTTTTATTTTAATTCACCTCCTCAAGGCCGAGAAGGCCACTACAGACGAGGAGGCTACTTATTTGTGGCTATAACCCTCTCTCAACTTTATAACTCTGAAACATGAACCTTGATGAACAAGGCCGCTGCGCGGAGAAAGTAGTTGAGCGCGGTACTACCAGGGACGTGGTGAGGATCGAACTCCAAACCACTCGTTTATGAAGCGAGCGCTCTACCACTACACCACTACCGCATTAAGTTTGCCAGAAAACTTTCAAAAAAACCATTATCTACAGATGCCATGAAGAAGGGTCTCTTGTGGGCAAAGGAATACAAAAAAGCAGACTAAAGAACAATGGAGAAGAGTGCAAAAAAAATGCAGTTTTTAAATTTACAGCTATTTTATTTGTTCTATTTGTATAAGCATACTGTTTTTAAGATGAAGATATTAAATTGAAGAGACTTGATAATTGTTAATTTATTTATTTATTGATTGCAGATTTTGTTTTTCGATAAATCACATTTTGAAGTGCAAGGCCAGCAATCAAAGTTTTTTCTTCACTCTGATGGTGAACCTATAAAACCTGGACACTTAAAACAATATGCCAATTACCCAGAAAAGAAGATATTTTGGGATTGTTTCTTGCTGTTGGACCTGGAGCACTCTAACCAGTTACTGGCATGATGAACTCTGATACTTACATTGATATTCTGCAAACACATTTAATTTCAGAGATGTTAAAAGTGTTTTCAAGCAGGATTTAGCCACATGCCATACATCCAAAAAGTCAGGAGATTTATGGTAGAAATTAATGTTAAAACACTTAAATGGTCTGGTACCTCCCCAGGTTGATATCTGGGTAGTAAAAGAAAGACTGGGAAAACATGACTGCACAACTAAAACTAAGCTTACCACCACTATCCTTCAGATTTGATTTGAAGACCAAGAAATAAAAACATTTGTAAATATTTGGTAGATTCTATGCTAAATTATGGGCAGAAAGTATGACTTTCTAGGATAGACAGTTGCACTAGGATAGGCAGTTACATAAAAAATTGAAACTAAATATTTTGACTTTAAAGTATGGTTAGATGAAAGAGGCTATCAAATGCTGCATATTGATACCAAATTTATGTTTCTAGCCCAATTAGAAGCAAAGTTATTGTAATTTGAGTAATCAAAATTAATGATTGACAAAGAATATCTAAATAAAAAAATCTAAATAAAAAATCTATAATATGTTATATAATAAAAAATGTTTATTATGTTAATCTTTAGTTACATAAATCACTATTTTGTGAATTTTGTGAAAAAAAAATTTATTATTGCTAATTAACCCAACTTGCTATAGTTGTATTTTTTTATGTTATTGGATAAATGTTACATAGTTCTTTCCATATATGAAAAAATTATTTTATTGTAAATAAAAGTATTGTGCTTATGAAACTTACCTGTATACTTCTGCTCTGTAAACTGTAAAAATACCTTTCAAATTTTTCTAAAAACAGGTCAAACTGTCTGCCTTTAGTTCTCAAATTAAAAAAAAAAATTCAATACCCACTACTTAATTTAATTTATTTTCCATGCGTCCAGTGTGAAGCTGCAAAAACGCAAAAAATAGGCTTCCAACTTTTAATGGCAACCAAACTTAGCTGATTATCCAACATGGCCGCCACATGAGGAGGCCATACACTAGGAGGACACAAAAAATATTACTGTATGCATTTTAATTATATTGGATGAAGAAAACTTAAAAATTCCTTGATTTTTATTGTTTTTGATTTTGATGCAATTAATTTGCACAATACTGTTTATGAAATTGTCTGAAAAATGTTTACTCCCACCCTCTAAATGTGTTTTGTATAATAAAACAATACTTAAATTGAAAAATTTTTGAAAAAAATTTTTTTTTTAGGGTTATGTTAAGTCCCTCAAACATGGGTTGGGTACCTAATGTTATCAAAAAAATAGTTCTTCAAAAGTATATCATATTGGGTCTCAAAAGAAGCAAAATTATATAAAAATATCAAAAATAATCATCATTTTATAAAAAAACAACTAGAGAAAAAAAAAAAATTCTAATAAAATTTTTTTGTAAAAATGCATACTTCAATTTTTAGTTAAAAATGTAATTTTTTAGGCAGAGAAATTTAAAATAATAATTTTTTTTTTAAATGATTATGAACAGATACTATTCCAAATCTTTATCAACAAAAGATCTCTTTTGATTCAACATTTTATGGTTAATATAAATTAAATATAAAATGAAATTAATATTTTTCCAACAACCAACTATTTACTTAATGGAAAAAAAAACTCCACCCTACAATTATGTTGTGGATTAAAAAAGTTTTTTTTATTCAAATAACTAATAAGAATGACAATTGATTCTGTTTTTAATATAATTAAAGATTTTTTTATTTCAGTATATGACAAGGAATATCAAATGTGTTTTAAGGATGACATTGCAGCTAAATTATTTACTTAATGCATCAAGATCATAACACCTTTATGGTACCATTCTTACTAAAATAAGAGATTTTGCCATAGGAAAAGGCTTAATCAAAAACCATAAACTGAATTTGATAAAAAAGCATATGTGGTACACATTTATATATAAATAGGAACTTGTTTTTAATACTAATACTTTTAGTAACAAATAGACTTTGAGTTGAAAAAAAACATTGGATTATACAGTCGTGGCCAAAAGTTTAGAATCACATGTGGACTTTTCATTTTTGTGTGTTTTTGTCGAACCTTGGTCAGAAATATTAATTCTATTTAGTTGTCTTTGTGCCAGTATTTAGTTAAACCATTTGTGGTAGCTAAGCAGCAGTTTTAATTACATTTTTTGATCATTTTAATGGGAAAAAAGAAGGAATTATCAGAAGTTATTAGAGGTCAAATTCTTATATTAGCTCAACAAAAAAATTCAACTAGAGATATTGCAAAAATTGTAAATGTATCACAATCTTGTGTTAGTAAGACATTAAGTAGAATTCGACAATGTGGAACATTTTCGAAGAGAAGTGACAGACCAAAAAAAGTGACTGAAAGGTTGACAAGACGCATCAAGTTTATTGTGGAGAATAATCCCAAGCTGTCATCATATGGGATTCTGGATGATTTGAGTCCTGGAAATGCGGAAGCAAGTCTATCAAGCACAAGAACGATCAGACCTGTGCTGCAGATTGATCTGAAGCGTCCTGCTTGACGACCTGCCAAGAAACCAGCCTTGAATGACACTCAACGCAAGAGGAGGTTGGACTTCTGCAAAAAGCACAAACATTGGAAGGAGAAGGACTGGGAGAAAGTAATGTTTTCTGATGAAAGCACACTTGAACAATTTGG